CCCAAGCTGATGCTGGGGGAGCCGCGGGAAGCCCCCCACCTCCAGGTAGGAGAGGGGTGGTCCGGGATGAGGGGCTGGAGGTGTCCGTGGCGAGTGGGAGCAGCCGGGCTTCCCGCTCCCCGTTTTCCAGGGCTGGATGAACCAGCTGCACGTGTACGACCCCGAGCTTTTCCACCCGTCGCTGACGCACTCGGTGCTCGCCGTGCTGGACGGGGCCACCCTCAAGCTGTCCTACCCCAAGAGCAACATCCCGCGCCGAGCCACCTTCGAGGAGGACATCCTGGACGCCGTCTTCGTCAGCCACCGCTGCTACGACCTGACGGACGCCAAGGTGAGCCCGGAGGTCCCCAGGAGCCTCCCCCGGGGACCCCCCGCGCCCGGCCCGGGCTCACCCCGCTCTCGGTGCTGCAGGTCTTCCTGTGCCCCCCCAGCCTGGCCCGAAAGCGGACGTGGAACAAGAAATATCCCATCTGCGTGCTCCTCGCCCAGCCGGCGGAGGGAGAGGGCAGCGAGGAGCGGGACACGGAGCTGCAGGGGGAGGAGGGGACCAGGAAGGTGGCGGTGGCCGGGCAGGACATCCCGGGGGACGGCAGGGACAGGTGCCTGTACCTGTTTGGGCGGACGGGGCGGGAGAAGGAGGAGTGGTACCAGCACCTCGTGCAAGCCTCCCGTGGGACAGCCAGCAGCCACGGTGACACCAGGGCAGGTGAGGGGCAGCCACCACGGCCTCTGCTCTGGGCCAGGACTGATCCAGGAGCACGATGCCTTGGTGGGCAGCAGTGAGCGTGGAGGGACATGGAGGAGAGCAGAGTGTAGCCAAGAGGGTTCAGCTCGTCAGCACAGCGGGGGTGGCACGTCACTGGTGTCATGGACAGGCACCATGTCACCCCTGGTGCCATCCTGACCAAACAGAGTGGATATGAGGAACAATTAAACAACAACAAAAAAAGGGCTGTCCAGGCCCAGGGCAGGGGTGGAGTGCCCATCCCTGGAGGGAGTTAAAGCCACGTGGATGTGGCACTTGGGGACACGGGTTGGTGCTGGCCTGGGCGGTGCTGGGGCATGGTTGGGCTGATGACATTAGAGGGGTTTTCCAAGCGAAATGATTCTGTGATTCCACATGCCCAGGCACGGGATGGGCTCCGCAGAGCAGCGGCAGCAGCAGCGGGGGCAGCACCGAGGACATCCCAGCCACGGATCCCTCCAGGGACACGTCGGGAAGCACTGAGGAGATTTACCTGGACTACAGCACCTACATGGCCCGGTTTGTGCCAGCACAGGGGGCAGGCAGCCCGGAGAGGAGCCCCTCTCATGGAGCTCTGGGCAGCCCCACGCCCACAAAGGTGAGTGGGACAAACCCAGCCCTGGGAGCGGGGCTGGAGGCTGATGGAGCTGCTTCCAGTGTGTGGTTTGAGCAGCCAAGCCCTGGGGCAGGCAGCACAGGACAGCAGGTCCCACTGCTCACGGGGCCACCTCGCTGCAGGGGCTGGCAGCTGCTGTCCCCTCCCACGAGGACACGGCCAGCATGGCCTGGATGAACGCGCTGGTGGGACGCATCTTCTGGGACTTCCTGCGGGAGCAATACTGGGCAGAGCAGGTGTCCAACAAGATCCAGAAGAAGCTGAGCAAGATCAAGGTGAGAGGCAGGAGCATCAGGTCACTCGGGGGAGCCCTGCTCCCAAGGCCCCACGGAGAGTGGTGACTGTCCCCTATGGGGGTTCCCTCCATCAGCTCCCGTATTTCATGAACGAGCTGACGCTGACAGAGCTGGACATGGGCACATCCATCCCCTCAGTGCTCAGTGCCTCCAACCCCACCATCAATGAGCGAGGTAAGAGCCCCACAGAGGGACAGGGACCCCAGTGCTGGCTCCAGGATGGCTTTACAGAGCTGCCAGCCCGGCTCCCAGAGCTGGGGGACTTGGCAGTGCACAAGCAGCTCTGAGCCCCGTGGTGCTGACCTGATCTCGCCCTGTCCCTCTCCCTGGCAGGGCTCTGGGTGGACATGGAGGTCACCTACAGCGGCTCCTTGCAGATGACACTGGAGACAAAGATGAACCTCAGCAAGCTGGGGAAGGAGAGCTCTGCAGAGGAGAGCGGCCCTGCAGAGGCAGGCAGAGAGGGGTAAGGAATGTGCCCATGGATGGGCTCATCCTGCTCCTCCTGCCCCAGTGGGGCGAGGCCGCTGTCCCAGAGCAGCCTGTGATCTCCTGGGGCTCGCAGGGCCAGGCCACGGCTGATCCTGCTGGCAGACAGCGACGCGGAGTCGTCCAGCGCCGGCTCCTCCGACGAGGAAGATGGCACCAGTGCAGAGCCCCTGGGAGCCCCGGGAGAGCGGCTCCCCCCGCCTGGCACCGAGGGGTACGGGGGTGCTGGGGGTCTGTGCCACGGGGGGCACGGGGAGGGGCTGGGGACGCACGGTGCCACGTCAGCACGGGGGCATTGGGACAGTGTCCCCGGCAGGACACACACAGCACATCGTGGCAGCCTCCAAAGGGGGCTGTGTCCCTGTAGGGTGCTGTGACAGAGGGCTGGGGGACCCCAAAACCCAGCAGGGCTGAGCTGGCGCCCCTCTTGCTTTAGGCACGTCAGCGGGAACAGCACGAGCAGGAAGATCCTGCGCTTCGTGGATAAGATCGCCAAGTCCAAGTACTTCCAGAAGGCCACGGAGAACGAGTTCATCAAGAAGAAGATGGAGGAGGTGTCCAACACGCCGCTGCTGCTGACAGTGGAGGTGCAGGAGCTGGCAGGAACCCTGGCCGTGAACATCCCCCCGCCACCCACCGACCGTGTCTGGTACCAGCTCTCCTTCCCCCCAGCACATCCTGCTGCCAGCGCCCCTTGCCCCCTGTGAGCAGCCAGCTCAGCAGCCCCCAGGGCTTTGGGCTCATCCTGGCACCAACAGCCCAAGGCTGCTCCCCAAAGGGGCTCACAGACCTCAGGCTCAATCCTCTGAGGCTGCACCCAGGCCAGCACAGATCTGGGGACCCTGAGCTGTCACCTCCTCCCTAAAAGCCAGCAGTGGCTGTGCCACATCTTTGGCAGGTGATGCTTTCTGCCTGTCTCCTTTCCCCTCGCAGGTACAGCTTCCGAGTGCCCCCGCAGCTGGAGCTGAAGGTGCGCCCCAAGCTGGGCGAGCGGGAGGTGACGTTCCTGCATGTCACCGAGTGGATCGAGAAGAAGCTGAAGCACGAGTTTCAGGTGCCTGGGCTGCTGCTCAGGGGCTCAGCAAAACCCTGCTGAGGCTTGGGCATTGCTGCCATCAGGGAGAGTCAGCCTCAGTTCAGGCCAGTTGTTTCTGCAAAAAGCCAGCCCCTGGTCTGGTCTGGCCAGCTTGGAGCAGTGAAGATGCAGAACCCAAATAACCAGCTCAAGGGCTGAGGGAGAGTGATTTCCTCCCATCATTTGCAGGGAGGGTTTGGGGTGTCAGGCAGTCCCAGGCAGGCACCCCCCAGAAGGGCTGAATCCACCTGGCCATTCTGGTTTGGGGATGTTTGGGAGATTTGCCTTCCCAAGGGTTTGTGTTCAACCTCTCACCTCTGCTCAAAGAGCAGAAATGTCCCCAACACATACTTAGGGCCCCCCAAAAGCCACCCATTTGGATAGTTTCAAAATGCTTGTCCCTCCCCTCTGTTGTGACTACCCCTGCAGCCATTGAGGTGGCCAGGGCAAAGAAAAACTGTCCCTGCTTGTCCCCACCCTGATCCAGAGCTGGGACCCTCGTGGGGCTGCTGCTGTGGGGGTGGGAGCTCCAGTTCACAGCCCTGGTCCCTGACCTGGGCCTGGCTCCTGCCAAGCCACCTCCAGGAGTGTCCTCGTGGTGTTCAGACCCACTGACTGGGGCTGCTGCTGTGGGGGTGGGAGCCCAGAACCTCCAGTTCACAGCCCTGGTCCCTGACCTGGGCCTGGCTCCTGCCAAGCCACCTCCAGGAGTGTCCTCGTGGTGTTCAGACCCACTGATTTGTTATTCTGGATTCCTCTTTGTAGAAAATTTTGGTGATGCCAAACATGGACGATCTCATCATTCCCATCATGCGCTCTGGCCTGGATCCTTGGCCCCCCACCACAGGACTGCCCCGGGACCCGCCAGCCGAGGGGGACAGGAGGCTCTGAAGCACAACCCCAGGGGCAGGGACACTGCCCAGGGCTCAGGGACCTCGCTGGGACACGGGACAGCCGGGCCTGGCCACTGCCTGCACCCAGGGCTGTGCCTGGATTCATCCTCATGCTCTGCTTCTGCAGATGAGCCTCCTCAAATCCTGCAAGCACACCTCCGGGGCACAGCCAGGCTGCTGGAGACCCAGGAATCCCACGGCCACGCTCCAGGACTCCTGGTCAAGCAGGCAGCTCTGCACAGTGGAGGGCTGGGCTTCCCACTGTCTGGTTCCAAAGAGGGTGCAGGACACCTGGATCATGGCACCGAAGGAGTTGGGATCACCGCTGATCCAAAATTCCCAGCTCCGGGGCATCCCCCCTCCCCACAGGCAGCTGGGCTGCAAGGCAAGCACGGGTGGGGAGGGTCCCAGGTGAATAAATCCATCGCTGCCCAGCCCTGCCTAGCAGCCCTCTTGTTGTGCACAAATTCAGGATTCCAGCCAGGATCAGGGGGCTTTGAGTAGGGAGAAGGGTTGCACCTTCAGCTTGGCAAAAGCGGAGCTGGAGGTGTGTGGGAGAGGCACTGAGGGGACAGGCAGGGAGCCTGGGCAGAGCCAGGTCTTGGGCAGGCCCAGTATTCCCAGTGGAAACCGGGGCAGAAGTGCTGGAATGTGCTCTGCTCTCTGCTGGGTGAGAGGGAGGGGAGACTCCGTGGTGATTTGGGTGAGAGGGAAAAATTCACTGAGGAAAGGAAAGGGAGGATCCAGAGGGCACAGCAGGCACTTGGCTGTCCCAGTTAGTCCCTGTCTGTGTGTGACAGTCCCAAATGCCACTTTTCCTATCCCCACCTGCTGAGGAGCCTGAGAACAGGCAAGAGACCCCTCCAGAAGGAGAGAGGAGCAGGCGTGGCTTGGAGCCCCTTTATTGCAAGTGCCCAGCCAGGCAGCCTTGGATCTCTGTCCTTAGAGCTCTTCCTGCACACCTGGCTTCTCCTTCACCAAATGTTTCTTCTGGGGGCCCTGGAAGAGAGCAGAGAGGAGAATTTGGATTTAGGGACTCACAGACCTGGCCTGCATGGCTGTGTCTGGGCTGTGGCAGCTAGAAAGGCAGCTCAGGCCAGCAGATGAAAAATGGGGTTATCCCACAGCAAATCAATCCTATGGGAGCAGGTGGCAGGAATTACTTATGTCCCTCAACTTCCAGAAAAAATACTACAGAATCCATGGGGCAAAATGGCAAAGAAAAGAGCTGCAGCCAGGTCAAACCTCCTCCTGTCACCGAGCTCCTCGTCACAGCAGCTCAGGGCTGGCAGTGACACAACAGGCTCCTGACACTGAGCTGAAGGAAATCAGCTTAACCTCTAAAGAGCTCTGCAAAGGCAGTGCCTAACCAATCCCCCTGCCAGCACTAAGGAGGCTTAGCCAGCTTCACATGGCATTTCTGGCTGGCAGGCCAGATCCAGACCCAGTTCACGTCTGCGTGGGACACAGGCAGTTGTTTCTTTCCCTTCTCCCTCTCCCTCTCCTGGTTTACTCAGTGCCTCCTCCGCTTCAGACTCAGACTCACACCAGCCTGGTGAAGGCTGCAAAACTATTCAGGAAACTGCTGTGTTTGGATTATTTAATTATATTATTTTTTTGCCCTGGATTTAAGAAAAATATACTGCTTGGCCTTCTTGAAAGCTTCTGACAAAAGCACCACAAATTTGCATCTGAATTTGACCCAAACTTTTTTTCCTCTGAGAACATTAAAGCTATAAATCATTCCAAACAAATCAAAGCAGTGCACAATCCCAAGTGAAAGGCACCATATGGCCAAGACAGTGCCTGCCAAGTTAACTGCTTGTTTAAAACTTCCCATGGTGAATGGGAGCTGGTTGCCCATATGGTCTTTTATTTGCTGGTTGAGTTGTCTTGGATCACACACAACCATCCTGTTCTTCCTTAGCATCATTTCTGCTCTGTGAACTGAATTCATGGCTGCCTTTAGGCAAGAGAGTCTCCCAACATTCACTTGGCTGTTGTTGTATCAAGAAACACACCACAGAATCACAGAATTAGAGAATCCTGGGATGGTTTGGGTCGGAAGGGACATAAAACTCATCCAGTTCCACCTCCCTGCCCATGGACACCTGGAAGAGGCTTGGTTGGAGTCAGTCAGTTGCTGTGGCCCCCTGAGGAGCTGGAGGCAGCCCGAGGAACTCACCATGAAAGCTCTCTTCTCCTGAGCTGTCTGGAAGCGGCCGTGGCCGAATTTGGAAGTGGTGTCAATGAACTTGAGCTCGATGGCTTCATGGGCCCGGCGGCTCGTGTGCACCAGGAGGGACTGGGAAAGAACAGCCACAACATCAGGAGAACGGTCACAGAACGTCAGGAGAGCTGGTCTCACGGAAGCAGGGTTGGAATATCCTCTAAACAAATATCTCCTCAAAAATCTGTGTTCTCAGAGCAACACCCTGGTGCTCAGGTGGTGGAGAGCTTGCAGAGCTGCTCTTTGCTCAGCATTGCCCAGAATTGTGACAGAATGGTAGAATAGCAGAATCACAGAATCAACCAGGCTGGAAAAACCTCTGAGATCACCAAGTCCAACCTATGACCTGACCTTGTCACCCAGACCATGGCACTGAGTGCCACATCCAGTCTGTCCTTAAACACCAGGGACTCCACCACCACATCCCTGGGCAGCCCATTCCACTGTCACCTTTCTGTGACAAACCAAGGTTTAATTTCTGAAATGAACCACAGCCCCCAGAGCTCTGAAGCTCTCCAGCTCCATCCACCTGCTGACACTGCACCAAGAACCCACCCAGTGTCCCTGCCCAGCACTTGGAGGGTTCTCCAGGTGGGGAATGTGCACCTGGGGAGCTGCAGCCCATCCCAGCCTGGAGCTCTCACCTTGCGCAGGGTGAGCACGCGCTTCCTGGTGCCCACCACGCAGCCCTTCAGCATGAGGAAGTCATTGTTGACCTCCCCGTAGTGAGGGAAACCACCCTGTGGGGAGAGCAGAGGGGTTGGTGAGCAGGAGAGCTGGCTGGGAGAGTCGGGGGGGCACAGCCCTGTCACCCCCCAGCCCTCACCAGAGGCGTGATGGTCTTCTCGGTGATGTCGTAGTGCGTCGAGGCGTTGTTCCTCACCACTTTGCCATCCTCCACGTGGATCCCGTGGCCAATGCGGTAAATCTGGGAACACACAGGCAGTGGAGATGGAGACTCTCCTGCCCCTTGCTGAGGAGCTTCCCGGGCTGCCAGAATCCCCCACAGGTTCACGTGGTTTTCACCACGCTGTGCCCTCGAGCAGCGGAAAACCACCAGGAAAGACATGGAGATGTCCAGGGAAACATCCGTGAGGATGCAGGGAGCTGAGGGCACCGTGGGGAGGAGGATGTGACAGGATGGGAGGCCTGAGGGAGCTGAAGATATGGCCCATACCTTCTTGTTGATCTCGGTGCGGTGGTGGTAGCCCTTCTGGCCAGCCCGGGCGATGGAGTAGCCCACGCGGGCCGGGTGCCAGGCCCCGATGCAGGCCACCTTCCGCAGGCCCTTGTGTGTCTTCCTGGGCAGCTTCTTGGTGTGCCAGCGGCTGGTCACCCCTGGGAGCGTGGGGACAGAGGGCAGGGTCAGCAGGCAGGGCTGGGGCTGGGGAAGGGCAGTCCCATGGCTGTCCTGAGGGACAGTCCCATCATTTTCCTCAGGGACAGTCCCATGGCTCTCCTGAGGGACTATCCCTGAGGGACAGTCCCATCATTCTCCTGAGGGATATTCCCATGGCTCTCCTGAGGAACATTCACTGAGGTACTGTCCCATCACTCTCGTGAGGGACAGTCCCATGGCTTTCCTGAGGGATAGTCCCTGAGGGACAGTCCCATCGTTCTCCTGAGGGACAGTCCCACCACTCTCCTGAGGGACAGTCCCATGGCTCTCCTGAGGGACATTCCCTGAGGGATAGTCCCATCATTCTCCTGAAGGACAGTCCCACCACTCTCCTGAAGGACAGTTCCACCACTCTCCTGAGGAACAGTCCCATGGCTCTCCTGAGGAACATTCCCTGAGGGACAGTCCCACTACTCTCCTGAGGGACAGTCCCATGGCTCTCCTGAGGGACATTCCCTGAGGGACAGTCCCACCACTCTCCTGAAGGACGGTCCCATGGCTCTCCTGCAGCTCTCACAGGAGGCCATGCTGGGAGGAGATCAGGAGCTGTTCTCACTTCCCAGGGCTCTGATCAGACCAGGAGGTGTTCCATGCACACACCCAGGGACACCCACAGCCCTGCACATGTGGGGTTTGTGAGACATTCACACCATCACAGAGCAGTTTGGACTGGAAGGGACCATAAAGACCATCCAGTTCCAATTAGACATCCCCCATTAGACCTGGTTGCTTTATCTACTGACAGTGCCTCTGAGCCTCCTGGGAGGAGGCCTTCACTGGCCTTAATCTCAGGGAAAACCTTTCCACCACAGGTTACCTTGTCAGCTCCTCTGTATCTGCATCAAAGGTGTCCCTGTTGAGTTTTTCCCTTGCTGGAATCCCTGAGAATAAGGAAACCGAGCCCTGCCACAACAGAACTGGATGTCCTGCTTAAGATCCTGAGGCTTTTTGCTACTCTCTCTACAGAAAGTTAGGGATTCTCAGCGTGGTTAACACTCTGCTGCCCCAAAACCACCTGATGGGCAGAGCCCTGTGAGGAGGACAGCCCCAAAGCCCTGTACCTTTCATGCCGTGGCCCTTGGTCACGCCGATGACATCGATCATCTCGTTCTGGCTGAAGACACTGTGCACAGAGATCTGCTTCTCCAGCCTCTCCCGGACCCAGTCGACCTTCTCAGCCACTGTCCCTCCATTCAGCTGGATCTCCATGATGTGGGCCTTCTTCTGCCTCAGTGGCAGCAGCCTCATCTGCAGCACACAGTGCTTTAGGGTGACATGTGGCCCCTCACCCCACAGACAGTGAGGGGCACAGGGGTGAGCAGAGCCACTGCTTCACCTCTCTGCCACAGTCACCCCCTTTCACAGCAGCCCTGGGTCAGCAGCTCGTTGTATCTGGGATTTTATAGAGCCAACTCCTTGTCCTTGAGCCCAGAGACCCTGTCTGGCCTTGAGCCAGCTTAGCTCTCCCCCAGACCCCAAAGCAGCCCTTAACTCCAGGGATCAGCATTAAAATGAGTCCCACGTGTATCCAGCAATCAGCATCTGGCAAAACTGTGGCTGCCCGTGGGGTTATTTTTGCCCAAAACATTTGACACCAGTTGCTAATTTGAGGTGATCATGAGGCCCGAGGTCCTTTGCTGACACAGGACTCAGGCTCTGCTCTCCTCCTGCTCTCCTCCACGGGGTGTGCGGGCTCCCATCGGGATGTGGGGGCTCCCCAGTGATCCCAAACCACAGCCCCATGGCAATCCTGGAGCAGGAGCTCTGGGAGGGCACTGCGAGGTCAGGAGGCAGCTGGAAAGGTCAGCCAGCACCTCCCATCACCATCTCACACCCTCTGCTCTCTCAGCCTCTGTGACCCCACCAAAACACCCCCTGGTCCCATTTCCAGGGGGCTGAGGAAGCCCCCCGAGCCCCCTGCCCATGCCAGGGGGAGGCTCTGACCTGTGTGTGCATAATGACACGGATGACCTTGCAGTACTTCTTCATGGCTGCAAAATCCTTCTCCAGCTGCCTTTTGCCAGCCTCATCCTGCCATTTTTTGCAGTACTTGGTGAACGCCTTCTTCTTGCTCTTGTGCCTAAGGACAGAAGTGGTTAACACCCATCAGGGCTGATAAAGGGCTTGTGACAGCGCAGAGAGGGGACAGGTCACCTTGACAGCCACCTCCTCGGAGGCACAAGGAACCTGTGGATACCTGAGCCTCACCTGACCGTCAGGACCTTGGGGTGGGAAGAGGGAGGTGGATAATGAGCCGTGAAAAGGGCTTGTTCAAGGGTAATTCAAACCTTTCCGCATGAGGAATGCGTTTGTCTCCCACTGACTGACTCAGCACCATCAAAACAGGCGCAAAATCAGAGGCAGGAGAAAGCAGGGATCAGAGGATTGGCGTGGGTTCGTCTCCATGGCACTCACAGGAGATTCCTGCAGCCAGGAAATCACACAGGCACTTCCCTGCTACCTGTGGCTACCTGAGCCTCACCTGACTGCCAAGGGCTTCGGGTGGGAAGAGGGGTGAGCCGTGAAAAGGGCTGACAGGAGAAAACGGGGATCAGAGGCGTGTGGTGGGTGGGTCTCCATGGCGCTGTTACAGGAGACCCAATTCCTACAGCGAGGAAATTCGTGTTCCCACTTCCCTCTCTGCCGAGGGCTGTTGATATTTATGAGGGCCAGGGGCCACGTTCTGCATCAATTTTCCCCCTGGCAAATCTGGTTTCAGTCCAGCTCAAGATTCTGGTTAACTGGAGCTGAGGAGCCCGAGCTACAAGAGGGAAAAGGAACCTGCCATATGATATTGTGGAGAGAGCTAACTTGGTTCGGCTATTAGAATAAATTTACATATGCAAACGCTGCTCCTCAGCGTCGGGCTGTCTGCAGCATCCCTGTGCATGACTAAATAGGCAGCAGTTTCACTCCACAGGAGCTGAGCTGTTTGGGCATCCCGGAGAGCATGTGGAATTCCTGCCAGAGACAGGCAGCCCCCCAGGAAACCCCAACTCTGGGAATCCCAGGATCACTGAGGTTGGAAAAGCCCTCCCAGACCATCAACCTGTGACTGATCCCCACCTTATCCCCCAGCCCAGGGCCACATCCAGGGGTGCCTTGGACACCTCCACCTCCTCCCTGGGCAGTCGCAGGGTTTGATCCCCTTTTTGGGAGCCCGTACCAGTTCTTGTAGAAGCGCCGCCGGCACTCATCGCTGATGTGCTCAGCAAAAACAGTCTTGAAATTCCTCAAGCCCTTGGGCGTCTCGATGTAGCCCACGACCCCCACCACCACCATCGGTGGGGTCTCGATGATGGTCACGGCCTCCACCTCCTCCCGTTTGGAGATCTCTGCAAGGCAGCAAAGGGAAGGGGTGCTTGGCATCCTCTGGGATCACTCCCTGGAGGATTCCCGCTGTCACAGAGAGTGCTGGGGGCGAGGTGGTGTTTGATCTCATCCAGCCCCAGCCTCCCACCCTCCCAAACCACCACTCACCATCCCAGTGGGGAGAGTTCCACACTGGCCTTTGACCATCCAAGGTCTGGACAGGCAGGATTTAACCCAGGACTGTGGGCTCCACCACTCCTTTCCACAAAGAGCCTTTCCCAAGGAGCCCATTCCCCCCTTTCCCTCCCCCTGTGCCAAGCCTTACTGAGCCCGGGCCGGTGCACCTCCCGCACAGTGTGGGTCATTCCAGCCTTGTAGCCCAGGAAAGCTGTCAGGTGCACTGGTTTGCTGGGGTCATCCTTGGGCCAGGCCTTCACCTTGCCTCGGTGCCGGCGGCTCCGCTTGTGGGGCAGGAAGCCCAGGTGGCCGTGCCTGGGAGCCGAGAACTTGCGGTGGGACTGCGGAGGGGAACCACAAAGGGAGGCTGCACTCTCAGCTCCCCGGCAAGTGGGGAGAAGGGAGACACGATAAACACAACAAAAAATTCCCTCCTTTCAGATGGGAATGCCACAGAGATTCCGGGCTCTTCACTGAGTCCTAACAGGGCAGGGTTTTGTTCAAGCTTTTGTTGCGTACATGGAAAAATGGCATAGAATGCTGGAATGGTTTGGGGTGGAAGGGACCCTAAAGCCCATCCAGTGCCACCCTGCCATGGCAGGGACACCTTCCACTGTCCCAGGCTGCTCCAGGCCCCGTCCAGCCTGGCCTTGGGCACTGCCAGGGATCCAGGGGCAGCCACAGCTGCTCTGGGCACCCTGTACCCAGAGCAAGGAAAGGATTCCTTCCTAACACCCATTCCAAATCTACTCCCTGTCAGTGTGAATTTACTAAATTTCTGGGCAAATGATGCCACTTAAATAAAAAAACCTAACCTAATCTCCCTCCTTCAGCTTCTTCTGAAGGACTTTGAAGGAGAAATACATTCTTTACTAGGTCTGTCCTTCTGCGCTCTTAATGATAATAATTTATTTTGTATCCTGTAGCACCAAAAAGACCTGCTTGGAATTCCTGGGCTTCATGTCACCAAGGCAAATGGCACAAAACAAGCACAGCCATGGGTAGGGAAAACAGGGGAAAGGATGCCCAGAGGAATGGGCAACAGGAACATGCACAGGTTCTAAAGGCACCTTGAAAGCCAGACGAGATAAATACATAAACCTCAACCACAAGCAGCAAAGGGTTAGTCCTGCACCCACTGCAGCTCCTTCCTAGCTCAGATCAGTCCCAGTGCCCGGCTGTGCTTTCCAACAAGCTCCTTTTCCAGCCTGAGGGGAACTCTGAGGATTCTGACCCCGTTCCTGTGGCACCACCAGGAGCAGAACCCAGCCCTGCTCGCCGACCCTCGCACACAAGCGGCTCCAGCAGAGCTGTACCAACCATGGGACGTCTTCAGGCCGGGGCAGCAGCAGAGAGAGGCTGTCGGGAAGTGCGTCCCCAGATTAATACTTAAGATGGGTATGGGTCTGAAGACACAAATTTAGCCGCTCGCTTCACCCGCCGCGATATTCATTTCATTCCTGGCAGGTTGGACACGACAGTTGTGGTGGGATAAAGGTCAATTGCTGCTGGCTCAGTTTACGCTTCTCCCTCCTGAACAACTCTGATGTGAATGGGGAATTAGGGCAGTTTCCTGAATTGGGGCAGTTTCCAAAAGGGGCACCACACCCCCAGAGCTGTGAACACCTGTGCCAGGGACCCCCAGCACAGGCTGAGAATCTCTCTGTCAGCCCAGGATTGTGATCCTGACTGGAAAAGGAGATTGAGATGTGATAAATAGGTGTGATTCGTGCTGATAAAATTGAAACAGTAATCAATATGGATATAGTAATCAATATTTGGAGATAACAAAATGGTTAAAAAGGTAAAAAGCTAAGAAAGCGGAGGGGAAGGGTCCACCCCCCCCATTATCTTCTGCAGATGTTCGAGGCAGGGAAAGGAGTCAGATAAAGCTTGCTAAAATTAACTGAAAGAGGGAAAACTTGGGTGGAACTCAGAAATATGTTAATTTATAAGATTTATTATATTGGCTTATATAATTTTGGTTTTGGCATATATGCTATTAGCTTGGTGCGCATGTGTAACCCAAAGGTGAAATAAAGGACACCTGAGGAAGAGGAGCGGCCTTCATCTGGACGACCCCCAAAGAGTGGTGTGACCCCCTAAAAGATGGTGGCGCATGTGTGGTGAAGATGAAGATGAGGGTGGAGACACCAGTGTGATGAATCGAAAATAGGAGGGGATGCTGATAATAGACAGTATAAAGGGGGGAATTTTGGGCTTGGCAAGCTTGTACGTGAGGTGGCAGGGGTCCCACGGCCCTCGCGCTCCGTACCCCGCGGTAATTTTGCTTATGCGTCATTACCCGAACCAGACTATATTTTATTATAACCAAATTATACTGCCCATTTATTGAATGTATTCAATTTTATATATTTTAAACTATTTCATTTAAATTTCATTAAAATTATTGTTACATTTAATTTTGTTTGGCATTTTATTTGTGATTGGATAATTGGGCAAACATAACAGAGACAATACATCTCACAATCACAGAGCAGTTTGGATCGGAAGGGACCTTAAAAATCATCCAGTGCCAGCTCCTGCCATGGGCAGGGACACCTTCCATGGCTGAGAGGGGCCCGGTGTCCCTGTGTGCGGGCAGGGACAGAGCAGGGACCAGGCTCTGCTTCGGGGGCCAGCAATGGCACCAGAGCCAGGGCAGAACCGATCCCAGGCAGCTCCACCTGGACACCGGGCAGAACTTTACCCCTGTGCAGTGACCGAGCACAGATCCCACGGAGGGTGTGGAGCCTCCCTTTGGGGATATCCCAAAGGCATCTGCTCCCAGCCCTGCGCCATGTGTGCGGGATGGCCCTGTGAGCGGGGAGGGGGACAGACGGGAGGGGAAAAACGGGATGGGGATGGACGGGATGGGGACAGACGGGATGGGGACGGACGGGATGGGGACGGATGGGATGGGGACAGACGGGATGGGGACAGACGGGATGGGATGGGGACGGATGGGATGGCTCTGTGAGCAGGGGTGGGGACAAACGGGATGGGGACAGACGGGATGGCCCTGTGAGCAGGGATGGGGACAGACGGGATGGGGACAGACGGGATGGCCCTGTGAGCAGGGATGAGGACAGTGGGGATGGGGATAGATGGGAGTGGGACAGACAGGATGGCCCTGTAAGCAGGGATGGGGACAGTCGGGATGGCCCTGTGAGCAGGGATGGGGACAAACGGGACACACTGTGGGCTCTGCCGACCCGCCCCATCCCGGGCTCCTGGGATCCCCTCCCGGAGGAGGGACTCGCGCACTACAACTCCCGGCGTGCCCCGGGGCCGCCGCCATATTCCCGCGCCCGGCCCCCTCGGGGTCGCCGCCATATTGCCGTGCTCCCGCCCCCTCAGGGGTCGCCGCCATTTTTCCCCGCCGCCGCCGCGATGCCGGAGGATCACGACTGGGAGGCGTATAAGGTGCCGCCGACCCGCACCCCCGTCTCCGAGAGGACTACGTCGGTGCCCAATCCCGTCGATTACTTCCAGACCGCCTTCAACTATGTCCTCGACGCGCCCGTCAGCTTCATCCGAGGTACCGGCGGGACGAGACATCCTTCCCCCCAGCGGCGTCCCCGTCCCCGTGGGAGCCGAGCAGCGGCGCGGGGACGGGGACACCGGCATGGGCACACCGGGGCACGGGGCCAAGGCGGGGGGACACGGGCACCTGCACAGGCAAAGGACACGCACAAGGACACAGGGACACTGGTCCTGATAGGAACGGCACGGGCAGAGGGACAGGACACTGGGACACAGGGACACGGGACATGGACAAGAACACAGCATGGACACAGGGACATAGGGCATGGACACAGGGACATGGGACATGGACAAGAACACAGCATGGACACAGGGACATAGGGCATGGACACAGGGACATAGGGCATGGACACAGGGACATGGACAAGAACACAGCATGGACACAGGGACACGGGACACAGACAAGAACACAGCTTGCATAGGAGGACAAACACAGGGACATGGGACACAGACAAGAACACAATACTGGTAGTGGGACAGGGACACGAGACATGTCATGGACACTGTGACAGGTACAGGGACATCAGGACACACCTTGGACACTGGGAGGAGGTGCAGGGGATGGAGGGACACAGTGACACAGCGTGGACAGGACACGGGGCACAGCACAGAGGGGCAGACACACAGCTGGGCAGTGTGGCCCCCCTGCTGCTGCCGGGGAAGGTGGCACCGGGCAGTGCCAGCGCTGGGGCTGCGTGTGACCGGGCTGTCCCTGCAGACTTGGTCGAGCGGTGGCAGAACAAGAACAAGTTCTACTACTACCACCAGAAGTTCCGCCGTGTGCCTGACCTGAGCCAGTGCCTGGAGGGTGACTACCTGTGCTACTACGAGGCCGAGGCTCAGTGGAGGAGGGACAGGTAGGCTGCCCCTGGACTGTCCCCAGGCGAGGTCACAGCAGAGCACACAGCTCTGGGACCTGCAGCGTTTTGGGGGATGCTGGGGAGCTGAGGCAGCCCCTCCAGCCCACCCATTACACATCAGTGTCCTGCTGTCCCTGCAGCACACCTGGGCATGGTGGCATTAGGATGCTGGAAGTCCCAGAGCTGACATTGCACAGGGTGTCCTCAGCCCTCGGTTCAGCTTTTCTCGTGTCTGCTGTTGCATTCCTCACCATCTCTCCCCAGGATGGTTGATCAGGAAATCGTGGAGATAGTCCGGGAAAGGATGGCTGCGTGCAAGCAGAGGGAAGGGCCCAACCAGTTCCAGAACTGTGCCAAGGAGATGGAGCTGCTGGCACAGGTCACCAAGGCCTACCAGGACAGATGTGAGTGTGGCAGCAGCACACGGGGCAAGGGCTCTAAACCCAGGGAAGGGGCTCTGGAAGCACATCCCACTGCATGGAACAGTGGGAGGCACTGCTCAGGCATCTCCTTTCTTTTTCAGACGGTGATCTGGGTTACCATGGCAATGCACGGACATGCCTGATGAAGCAGAAGCACAGGATGATGGAGGAGAGGAAAGCAGCTCAAGAGAATCAGTAGAGCTACAACAGTTCCTCCCTCCACGGTGCTGGTATCCGAGTGCATGCTGCTTCCTTGGCCTCCACAATAAACAGACATCTGTACAGCTGGGCTCTGTATTCATTCTTGGAAGAGCTCTGCTCAGCTCCAGGCTCTTGGGGCTGCCACTGCTGGGGTTTGCCCTCTCCTCCACGAGTCTCCAGAACACTCCGTGTGCTGCTCTGCCCTGGCTCTGAATTCCAAGTGCCCAAGGCCAGGCTGGACAGAGCTCAGAGCAGCGTTGTTCACTGCAAGGTGTCCCATGGCAGGAGCTGGACTGGAGGAGCTTCCAGGTCCTTTCCAACCCTCCCATTCCATGGTTTAACCCACCTGCCCCGAGCACCACCCCCATCACAGGAAGCACGGATTCCTGGTTCTCTGATCACTTTATTCTGCTACAAAACCCTTCAGGTGGTGGCCACAGCGGCTGCCTGGGTCCTCTGCACCGACACTCTGGTGTGGGTCTTGGCCAGATGATCAGTGAACTCCTGCAAAGAACAACGGGGTTATTCCCTCCAGCCCCTCACGGGTTCCTCAGCACCCCTCCCTTCCATCCCTCGTGTGCACTGGGGCTGGGGTGGCTCTGCTTTAGAGCTACCAAACCTTTGGCTTTGGGTACAGAAATTTAAATTTTAGGGGCAGGAAGGTTTGAGCTCTAAGTTACCCAAATGCTCTTACCTGGTAGGGAGACTTGGTGAAGACAGTCTCCTTCCAGAGGTCAGGAGTCAGGTAGCTGTAGGTCTTGGAGATGGCATCGAAGGTGGCTTTAGCTGCAGAGAGATGTCACACAGTCACACACTGCCACTCAATGGCTGCAGAACCAGCCCGCTGATCAACCCACAGCTCCAGTATCCCCCAGTTACGAAAATGTGGAATTTTGCAAGGATCAGGGAGACCAGGGAGGGCCCCTCTGATGAACCCACAAAGCTCAGGTTGCTCTCTCTCTCCAGTTACGACAATTACACCACGGCACACAGGTGCAACCGCGCAGATTGGGAGATTCAGGAGTGTTGAACCCCAGTTCTGTAACTAACTGACAGACCCTGCAGCAGGACTGACCATGCTGTCAGCACAAGTCACGACCCACTGTCACACGGAGCTGCTGTGCCCCAGCCGTGGCAGCCCCGGAGCTCACCGAAGTTGCCGAGTGTGGCCGTGCAGCCCCGCGCTGACGTGTAGCAGTCATCGATGCCAGCCATCATCAGCAGCTTCTTGGGGACAGGAGCGGACACGATCCCGGTGCCGCGGGGGGCCGGGATCAGGCGCACCAGCACGGAGCCGCAGCGCCCGGTGACCTGCGGGGACACGTTGGGTCACAGCCCCGAGCGCAGCCCCGGGCCGGGCCGGGCCGGGCCAGCGGGACGCTCACCTTGCAGGGCACCGTGTGCGGCTTGCCGATCTTGTTGCCCCAGTAGCCGCGCCGCACGGGCACGATGGACAGCTTGGCCAGGATGATGGCCCCGCGGATGGCCGTGGCCACCTCCTTGGAGCACTTCACCCCCAGCCCCACGTGGCCGTTGTAGTCCCCGATGGCGACGAAGGCCTGCAGCAGAAGAGTTTTCACCGCTCTGGCCAGGGTGGGGTGTGCTCAGCAGGAGCTCACAGCTCACCCCAAACCTTACACACAGTTCTCAAAAACCCGCTTTTGCCCTCAGAGTTCATCCTTCAGGCAGAACCAGCCAGGCACTGGGATTCAGTTCCCTGCTGCAGCCTCACTCTGGTCAGAATTCCCCACGATTTCACAACAACATTCCCTGCTTATACCCCAGACTTTTCCCTGAAAACCCGATGCTGCTGTGCAAGAATTTGGCAGCGTCAGAAAAATTTTCTTAAAAAGTTTCAAAGTCCTGCAGCCCAACTTTTGGGCCAGTGCTGCTTCAAGGAACATCTGCAAACATCACTGATGTTTTAAATTTAATACATTTAACAAGCTACTAATGATCCTCACAACAAAATAATTATTTACTAGATGTGACAGTAGAAGACATTTGGAGTGATTAAAGTGACTCTGGAAGTGCAGAAAGGGAAGTTGTGAACAGGAAGATCCAGAGAAAGGGGGTTACCTTGAACCTGGTGCGCTGCCCAGCACGGGTCTGTTTCTGCACAGGCATGATCTTCAGCACCTCATCCTTCAGCGAGGAGCCCAGGAAGAAATCGATGATCTCCGACTCCTGCAAGAGTCAGCACTGAGCACACAGAAATCACGGAATCCTGCGATGGTTTGGGGTCACAGGTCAGCTAATCCAACCCCCTCCCAAGGGCAGGGACACCTGCCACTGTCCCAGGCTGCTCCCAGCCCCATCCAGCCTGGCCTTGGACACTGCCAGGGATCCAGGGGCAGCCACAGCTTCTCTGGGAATCTGTGCCAGGGCCTCACCACCTTTACAGGAAACAACTCCTTCCCAGTTTCCTATCTGATGCCGTCCCAAGTCCCTCTCCAGCTCTCCTGGAGCCCCTTTAGGCTCTGAGGTGTCCCCGGAGCCTTCCCTTCCCCAGATGAACAACCCCTGCTTGGCTCCACCCCTTGGAGCATCTCCCTGACCCTTCACTTCTATATTCATAGCAACTCACCTTGATGGGAAGCGAGAAGAGATAAATCTCCTCGAGAGACTTGATCTTCATATCCTTGACCAGGCGACCGAGTTTGGTGACAGGAATCCACTGGCAGAGAAATCAGCGGGCAAGAGTCACCGGGGGCCAGCACCCGCCGGGACGCGGCTCTGCTGCCCCGTCCTGGGGGCTGGCAGCGCCCCCGTCCCCGCTCCCCACTCACCTCCTTATCCTCGGCTTTACCTCCGCGGGCCCCGCGGCCTCTCCCGCGGCCCCTCCCGCGGCCGCGCCCGCGGCCCCGCAGCCCGGTCCCGAATCCACCGCGGAAGCCCCCGCGGGCCGCTCCCGCTCCTCCCGCAGCACCGGCGTCGTCCGCCATTTGCTGGAACAAAGCTGTACATCAGGCGGGCGGCGGCGGGCGCGGATGGGGCCGGATGGGCCGGGCCGGGCCGCCCGGTGCCGCCGCCGCTCCCGCCATACTTACGTGATCCCTCAGCGTAGAAGGCCGCGCTGCGGCGGCGCGCGCTATTTATACCGCGCGGGCATCTCGCGAGAGCCGCGCGGGCCCTGCGCGCTGGATGAGGAATACACCGCGGGGCGGAGCGGGCAGTTTGTGTTGTTTATACAGCGCGCGGGGCGGGCGCGGCTCGCGGGGCACTCCGGGCGCGCGCGGGCGGAGCGCGCAGAGCGCGGCGCGGCGGCGAGCGGTGAGGAGCTGCGGGTGCGGGCGGGCGGGCCGGCACTGCCGCATCTCCCTCCTCCCCTGCGCCTTCAGCCGCTGTAAAACTCTGCCGGGACATGGTTGTGGTGCCGCCCGAACCGCGGCCCGGCCGGTGGGGTGCAGGGAGCGTCCCGGGAAGGCGCTCCGGGGGACGCGGTAGCGCCCGGCGCGGTCTGAAAATCAGTCGGGGTCTGCTGTGGCCCCGGGTGAGATAACGGCGCCCAGAGCATCGGGAACATTAAGCTTATTGCCCACGGCTGTGTGTGGGGAATGAAACCCATGTTCCCATAAGCGCCGTGCCGGCGGGTAGCGGCGCGGCGGGTTCCGGGGCCGGGTCTCAGTTTTGTTCTCCGCCCCAGGTGCCGTTCCGGGCCGCCGGAGCCGCGCCCCGCCGTGCGCTGCTGACACTGCGCGGCCAGCCCGTCCCCGAGGAGCTGTGAAGAGCTCGGGGCTGCCGCGATGGACGGCGACGCGGGAGTCACAGCTGGGAACGATTCGGTTTTGTGTTTTGATGTGCAATAAAGATGAAGTGCTTAAAAGATGGAGCGTCTCGCTTGTTTCTGATTGTCAAGAGTTCTACTTCTCGCTGTGGTCAGGGAGTTCTATTTTACGCTTCCTTGGGGCGGTTGTGCTGGAGAACGCTCCGGATGGCGGAGGAGCTGCTCGGGGCCGCGCTGTGGCCGCTTTCTCGGAGGAACGGGGAATTTCCATCCCGTTCTCCGGAGCCGCTCCCCGCGTGGCGCTGGTGGCGCCCCTCGTGACGTCACTGGAGGGGCCGGAAGTGTTCCCTCACTTCCCGGAAGCACGTGGGCCGCGGCCATGGCGGACACGGACCCGGCCGCCGCCGTTCCCGTGCGCTTCAAGAGCAAGTGAGGGACCGGCGGGACAGGGCTGGGGCTGCGAGGGCGAGCGAGCGGCCGGGCCGGGCCTCGCCTCGCCTCGCGACCGGAGCCCCCCGGCCGCCGCCGCTCCGCTTTAACGGAGCCTCTCCGCGCGTTTCTTTCCCTTCCAGCTACGCCGCGACGCGGAAGATCGAGCCGTTCTACAAAGGAGGGCGAATCCAGGTAATCCCGGCTCTGGAGGGACATCTGGCAATGCCGCGCCTCCTGGCTCTAACGTTCCCGATCCCTTTTCCCCAGATTAGCCGGGATGGGAAGTTCATGTTCTGCCCCTGTGGGAGCAAAGTCAACGTGATCGATGTGGAAACCGGAGCGCTCCTGCACAGCCTCCAGCAGGTGACCGGGACCGGCCTCTCCCGAGCGGTCTGCGAGGCTCCCGGAGGGTTTTCTCCCTGTGGATACAAAGCTCCCAGGAGCGAGGAGTGCAGGGAGGGTGGGAACGGCCCAAGCACAGGTTTCGGGTGGTCCCGAGCTGTGCTCAGGGTCAGCAGAGCCCTCAGAGAAGGGAGCTCTGAGATCTCTGCAGGGATGGTTTCACTGTGGCATTCCCCTCTGTTTTGCCAGGATGAGGAAGAGGATGTCACAGCATTCGTGCTGAGCCCTGATGATGAGGTGGGTTGAGCACCTGGGACAGGCTGAGCCAGGAACGGGGGGGGATTTTGGGGTGTCTGTGCAGGGCCAGGGCTTGGACTCGATGATCCTTGTGCATCCCTTCCAGCTGGGGATATTCCATGGTTCCATTCCGTGCCCTGTGTGCTTCCTGAGATCCCCTGGGAGCCTTCTCAGGGGGTCACACTCACCCCTGTGGGTCACACTCAGAGCCCTGGGTCACACTCACCCCTGTGGGTCACACTCATGCCTGCCCAGAGCCTGAGCTCCCCAGCAGCTCCCTGTGCCACGTGGCACTGACAGGAGCCCAAACCCAGCCCGTGCTCAGGCTGTCCCTTGTCCCTGTGTCCCTTGTCCCTGTGCTCAGGCTATCCCTTGTCCCTGTGTCCCTTGTCCCTGTGCTCAGGCTATCCCTTGTCCCTGTGTCCCTTGTCCCTGTGTCCCTTGTCCCTGTGCTCAGGCTATCCCTTGTCCCTGTGTCCCTTGTCCCTGTGTCCCTTGTCCCTGTGCTCAGGCTATCCCTTGTCCCTGTGTCCCTTGTCCCTGTGCTCAGGCTGTCCCCTGTCCCATGTCCCAGGTGCTGGTGACAGGCAGCCGGGCGCTGCTGCTGCGCCGCTGGCGCTGGCGGGAGCCCAGCTGTGAGCGCTCGTGGCGAGCCGTGCACACCGCGCCCGTGGCCACCATGGCCTTCGACCCCACGGCCACCCTGCTGGCCACAGGTACGAGCCACATCTGTCACAGAGGGCGTTTCCTGCTCCTGCAGAGCTCCCAGGGCACGGCCAGCAGAGGTTGAGGCCCAGAGCCGTGTCCAGCCGGGATTTCTGCTGGATTCCCACGGCTCTGTCCTCCAGAGCTCAGTCCCAGGTGTCCTTCTCTTCCCAGGGGGCTGTGACAGCACCATCAAGGTCTGGGATATGGTCAAACACTACTGCACACACAACCTGAAAGGATCCTCTGGAGTGGTTCAGTAAGGAGCAGTGCTGTTTGTCAGTCCTTGGCTGTGCTGGGATACTGGGATTGAGGTGCAGTTCTTGAGTTAATGCAACATTCCCAGCAGGTTCTGGGCTCTTCCTGGCTCTTGAGAGCAGGGTTATGGCTGATTCTGCCCAGAGAGGAAACAGTTTGCTCAAGAATTTTCAAGGAATCACCGAATTGTTGGGCAGGGACACCTCCCCCTAGACCAGGATGCTCTGGGCCCACCCAAGCTGTCCTGCTGTGGGGTGGGCATTACTCAAAGGTCGGGGGTTTATTCCTGTGCTGTCCTCTGCTCCTGCCCAGCCTGGTGGAGTTCCACCCTGACGCCTCCCGCCTGCAGCTCTTCTCCTCCTGCATCGATTACAAGATCCGCATCTGGGACCTGAGCTCCAGCAAGTGTGTGGCAGTGCTGGAGGGACACTTCAGTGCTGTCACCTCGCTGGCCTTTGCAGATGGGAACAGCCTGCTCAGGTACCTCCTGGCAGGGCTGGGACCTCCATCCATTCATCTCCTGCAGCGCTGGGGGATGCTGGAGGGTCTGGTGGGTTCTGCTGAGAGGGGAAGGGGTGGTGCAAGTGCTCAGTGGGTGTGCATTGGAATCATGGAATGGTTTGGGTTGGAAGGGACCTTAAATCCCATCCAGTGCCACCCTGCCATGGCAGGGACAGCTTCCACTGTGCCAGGTGCTCCAAGCCCCATCCAACCTGCCTTTGTTCCTGGGAGTATCATCTGCTGGCACAGGGAATGCTGCTGCTCTCTCTCATGGCCTCTCCAGAGAGGTGTTGAGCTCCCACAGTGCCAAATTTGCACCCAGAGCCACGCTGAACAGGTTTAGCACTAAAACTGAGCTTTTTGTTTGCAGCTCTGGCCGTGACAAGATCTGCATGGTCTGGGACCTGGAGAGCAGGCAGAGCAAACGAACCGTCCCTGTCTACGAGGTGAAACTGCTTTTTGTTCCTTCCTTTGAGGCCCTCTGTCATTTCTCGGCCATGGTCTCCCTGTTCAGGGTCTGTATGTTGTGAAATCAGGTTTCTCCCCTTCCCAGGGGTTTCAGCTCTGGGTCTGTGCCTCTCTGACTCTTGCAGACCGTGGAAGCTGCTGTGTTGTTGCCTGAGGAGGGAGATTTCTCTCAGCTGGGCGTGAAGAAACAAGGGCTGCACTTTGTCACAGCTGGCAGCAAAGGTGAGTGTCACTTTTGGAGCCTGAAGGGTGGCACTCAGTCACTTCAGTGCTGTTATTCCCAGGCTGTGTGTTCTCCATGTGGCAGGAACCTTGGGTGGAGAGCAGAGCCTGCTCCTGAATTCCTTGGCAGGGTGGCTGAGCAGGATAGAGCAGGCACAGATCCATTTACTACTCAAACACATTTATCTCTCTTTTCAAACTCGATGAGTTTGATTGAAGAAGCAAAACCTCGAGGCTTTTCCAGCCACTGCATCTTGCCCAGTCTCGCCTTTGGGGCTGCATGGCTTTTCCCACCGTGCTTTGGATGATGTTCCCTGGACATCCACTGTGTGAAGCAGTGGCTGTGCCACAGTTTCTCCTGTTTTCCCAGGCATCCTGAGGGTGTGGGAGGTGGCCACGGGTGCCTGTGTGCACAGCCAGGCCGTGCCCTTCGCGCTGCGGGAGGAGCCGAGCGAGCGCAGCCTCTCCCAGTGCCAGTTTGTGCCCGCCAGGAACGAGATCCTCACCGTGTCCATGGAGCACAACATCGTCTTCTATGATGCTCAAAGCCTCCAGCTCAGGAAGCAGGTGACAGCCCTCAGCCTCCCTGTCCCTTTGTCCGTGCTCCAGGACCAGCTGTGCTGCTGGAAGAAGCACCGAGGGTGCCTCGGCTCCAGCCTGTTCTGGGATTGTTCCATGGGGCCACAGAATTCCACTGGTTTTGGGGGAATGTTGCGAGAGACTGACACAGGAACAACAAAACAGAGCAGACTTAGCCAGAAATGCCTCCTGTGTGTAGAAATTACACCCAGTATGAAATGAAAACCAGGCACTCCCACCTCTCCTTCAGCTGCCTTTTCCCTCCTGGGCTGTTTCCGTTGCAGCTCGCAGGATACAACGAGGAGGTGCTGGATGTGAAGTTCCTGGGCCCTGGTGACTCTCACATCGTTGTGGCCACCAACAGCCCCCAGCTGAAAGTGTTTGAGCTGGCAACGTCCCACTGCCAGATCCTGTACGGCCACACAGGTGGGTGACAGCGCTGCCCTGGGGGACATGGGCAGCTCTTCCTTTATCCAGCTTCTCCTGGAGCTCTGGTGCAGAGCAGTCCCTGAGTTCTTGGTGGAGCAGCATCACAGCAGGTTTGGGAGTTGTGTGGAGAGAGGATGTGTCCCTTTGTCCCTGTCCCTGGCAGTGAGATCAGTTTAAACTGGAGCTGAAGGTGCAGGGGTGTGACAGGCTCAGTCCTTAGGGACCACCCGTGTCCCAGACCTGTCCCCTGGCTCATTAACTGGGCTCATTAACTCACCCCTTTCTGTTGTCCCATCTCAGCGTTGCTCTGCACCCACCAGCTTTTATTTCTTCTTTTTAGAGACAATCCTGGCTTTGGACGTCTTCAGGAAAGGCCTGATGTTTGTCACCTGTGCCAAGGTGTGTCACTGTTCTCCATTTATTGAAACTCTGCATTCCTAGTGATCCTTGTGGGCAAAATTGTGGTTTTTTAGGAACTCCAGAAAGGGCTTTTTGTTCATACAATCCCTGCTGCATGCTCCAAATGGGTTCTCCCTCTATCCCTTTTTAACATTGTCCCTGGGAAAATTGGTTGTGTTTTATTGGCCTGAAGGAGATGTTTCCTTCTCTAAACATCCTGGTCTGGTGTTAGAGTACAGAAAAGTTGTTACTGTGAGATTGATGAGGGAAAAGGTTCCAAGAGCCCTGACAGACCCAAAAACCAAAGCTCTGAGACAACCAGAGATAAACCTCCATGCTGGAGCCCCAGAGTGGGGGCTGATCTTGCCACCTGCCATGACAGAGATGAATTCAGGCTGGAACACCAGTGACCAGTGGGGCTGAGGGATGTGGTGAAAGCACAGGGACCTGCTGCCTCCCCAGAAAGCTG